GTTTTGTCTTGCTGCCAAACCTTACCAGAGACGTCAGAGCAGATTTTGACAAACTGAAGGTCTTAATGTTACAGCTTTTAAAAAAACACAGTGCGTTGGAATTTGTGTGAACTTCCTACATATTTAATGGGAAGAAACAGAGATCCTCCATTGTGTGTCCTCTTGTGCCCTAGGACCACTCTGCCCCCCTTGTGCTCCTCAGACTGAACCTGACAGCCCCCTTACACCCTCTTCCCCATGCCTTGACGAGCTTGTGGCATTAATAGGCTTTTGCATGTGCCTGAGATGGTGTGTTGCCTCATGTCTTCCAGGGTGCTGACAACCAGGGTGCAGGAGAACAAGGCAGACCAGTCAGGCAGAACATGTATCGAGGTTATAGACCACGATTTCGCAGGTATGCTGCAGATCAACTTCTTTCTTTCACCTTGCCTTTTAGCCACAGAGACGGAACATGGCGATGGTCAGATGCTGCATTGTTAAAGCCTAGCTTAACTTTCAGGGGTCCTCCTCGTCAAAGACAGCCTAGAGAGGATGGGAACGAAGAAGATAAAGAGAACCAAGGGGATGAGACCCAAAGTCAGCAGCCACCTCAACGTCGGTACCGCCGTAACTTCAACTACCGACGCAGACGCCCAGAGAACCCTAAACCACAAGATGGCAAAGAGACGAAGACAGCCGAACCACCAGCTGAGAACACGTCCGCTCCCGAGGCCGAGCAGGGCGGGGCTGAGTAAATACCGGCTTACCATCTCTACCATCATCCGGGTGCGTGTCCGGGGGTTCTTGGGGCTAGGATTTGATCACTGACTTTTATTGTCTTTTGATGCTTTCCTTTAATATTCGCCTTACAAGGTTCAGACTGCTCTTGCCTTATGTGTGCTGTAACTAAACTGGCTGCACTTGGGAGCACACTTGTAGAACCAAACTGTGAGGCTTTGCTGTACAAATGCTGATTAATTGGGAGGACTCAGTTATCAGGCTTTAGTTTTCATTGATGGAGTCACTGCCTAAAATACAATTAATCTAGATCTCGGCTGTGCTTAGTGGTTCAGGTTTACAGCAGTCTTCATCTACCCAGAAAGAGTAATTGCAGCAGCGCTGGTATAGTGCCTTGAGAGGAGCCAGGAGAAACAGGTACTGGGATTTACTGGGCTCTGAGCTTTTATCGCTCAGTCCCAAAGGGGAAGTGAACAGCATCAAGACCTTTAGGTGTTAGTTTCTAGAAAGTTGGTGCAGAATTTACAGGAGTATCTCAGTAGCAGATTTTTATCTAAACAAAAAAGTGCTGGAGAAACTGCTAGATACGATCCCTTCTGTGGAGCATCCAGAGTGCCTGTGTTTGAAATACTGTGATACTGGTGTGGCTTGCTGCTTGGGAGGATTGTGTAAAGGTCTATGTTAAAATGTTTTTGTTAGACTGGCTGTGATTTGGCACCTGTGGTGCTGTCTTTTGGTGGCCAGTTTTGCTACTTTGAAAATATTTTCATTGCTAGGACTCTTTCTACCTGTTCTGCTTTATTGGCACCTTCTTTGTCTGTTCTTCCTCTCTCTCTCTATTTCCTCTCAACCAGTGTTCATATCTCATTCCTTAGTGTCTCACTCCTTGCCTGGAGGGCAGGCAAAGTGGAGGAGGCATTTGGGCTCAAATTAGGGGGATGAACAGGGACTGGGGGAGCTGGGTGTGGGAGCAGCTCCCAGCTGTGAGAGCTCAGGGACTCCTCTGAGGGCTCAGGCACTGCTGGTTTCATCGTGCAGAGGGATTATTTGATACAGAGCTTTACACTTGATGTGAGCCTTGGTTTTACCCTGGTGTTCATGGTGGTGGTTAAGACAAGCTGGATGAATTCCCAATATCGTGGGCTTCAAAGAACCACCAAGATGACACTTACTGCTCTTTCTGTCTATAGATAATATTGGAGAATATAAATGGTGGTTTCTGTGGTCTGGGCAGTGGCTTACCAAAGCCAGGCTGCCTGTTAGGTGCAGGTAGGACTCTGCCCTTCAGATCTCCAGTTGTCCTTGTGCCTTCCTGGGGGTGGCTTGGGGCTTCCAGCTGCATGGCCAGTGCTGGTCCTGCAGCACTGAGCTGCATGTGTCTGCAGAGAAATGGGCTGGGGGAGGGGTGGAGATGGGGTTTAAATTGAGCATCTTCTCTTTCTGGGGTCCTCTGTGTTTATTTTGCACGGGAGGTGGCAGTTTTGGTGGCTGAAAGTGGGCCAGTGGTGGGGGTCCTCTGGGCTGATGGAAGAGCTGTAGTTGGTAACAGTTATTTCATGTGTGCCAAAGGCAGCTCAGGGAGAATTGGGGAATTGCAGGTGGATCTTGGCAAACCAGACACCTGTGTGAGCCTCACACCTGCCTGATGGTCCTTTTTGTGGTTTTTTTTTTCTCTTTTTCAGTTTAGTCATCAAAGAAAAGACTTAAGAAATGAAGAAGAAAAGAAAATGAAATTCCAGCAATAAGAAATGAACAAAAGAATTGGAACTGAAGACCTTAAGTGCTTGCTTTTTGCTGTTGACCAGATTACTAGAACTATCTGCATTATCTATGCAGCATGGGGTTTTTATTATTTTTATCTAAAGAAGTCTCCTTTTGGAAACGATAAACAATGTTTTTTAAAAGCCTGTTTTTTCTCAATATACCTTTAAAGGTTTTTAAATTGTTTCATATCTGGTCAAGTTGAGATTTTTAAGAACCTCATTTTTAATTTGTATGAAATATACACCTGATTTTTTCAAGTCAAACTGCAAGCATCTGTTAATAAAGGTCTTAAAGAATTACCTTGTGTGTTTGATTGTTTTAAAGCCACTGCTGTATAAAAGGTTTAAGTGAAGTGTTCATACAAGGTTTGGGGGGAAAAAAAAATGACTGCTTAATTTTTTTACCTTACGGGCTGTATGTGTAAAATGAAGAAAAAAAAAAAAAAAAAATTCAAAAAGTGATTATGCTCTACTGCAAGTGGGTGGCAAGGCCCTGAGAGGGTGAAGAGGGGGGGTGCTTGTTACTGGCTGGGGCATTCCCAAGGGCAGCTCAGCTGTGTTCCCCTGAAATATGTCACAAAACTGGGGTGCTTTTTAAAAAAAAAAAAAAAAAAAGTCAAAAACAACAACAAAAAACCACCACAAACCCACACCACCCACAGAACCCCCCCAGCTGTGTCACTGGAGATGTGCAGAGCGCAGCTGCTCTTGACCTCCTACAACACAGATCTTTTGTCTGTACAACTGTTGCTGGTGTCTGTGCTCCTGCTGTGTGGGAAGGAAAACTAAGGGAAAACCAGTGGAAATGCAGGTTCCTGGTGGGGTTTGAAGTCCAGAGCCTCCACCAGCAGCCTGGGGGGGGAGTGTTGGTTTAAGGGCCATGTTTGGCTCTGTGGGTGCTGCTTTGCCACTTGGGGGACCTGCATGGCTTTTTGGGTGGTGACCCACGGCTGGTGTGGGCCAGGTGCCTGTCATGCCAGGGGCGAGGGGCAGTGGAATAGCTGCACTGGGCACTAACCCCAGCTATTGCTGGGTCAGACCTTGCCCTGGGCAGAGCCACCAGCAGCCGAGCTCCCGCTGCTCCCGGGGCAGCTCCTACAACACCGGTTATAAATTACCGGTAAGGAATGCAGCTGCCGTGGAGGAGCACCCGAGTGCATGGGGTGTGTTTGTCTGATGGCAGCTTTTGAGAGCTTTCCTCCTATCACCCAAATGCTTCCTCTTCTTAATTGTTTTTAATCACCAGCTATTAAATGTACAGAGCTGTCAGGTTTTGCTCTCTAAGGCCTTCTAACAGGCTGCCCACCCTCCAGACGTGCCAGCTGTAAGCTGTTCATCCTTTGGGCCACAGACATCCTGCTGTTTAACAGCAAACCGTCTGGCCTGCTCTGTATTTCTGTCACACAGTGATCAGGTTTCATTTTTCAGGTCCCTGGGTTGTTGCTTTAACCTATGCTAACACCCCGGGCAGACTCACTCCCGTGCTGCAGGACAGAGCAGTTGGCCAGTGGTGTTTCTGCCTAGCACCCGAAGGGAGCTGCCATAAAGCAACAGGTTTGCTGCCTCCCAGCTTCGTGTGAGGTTGGAAACGATGTCCCCGTCTTCCCTGGGGATGGACGGCTCAGGAGGACCCTTGAAACTCTTCTGCTTTGTGGGTGTTTGCCTGTGCTGCTGCCCATGCTTTGCGCCTCCCCATTGCGGGGACAGGCTGTAGCCCTGCAGCAATGTCTGCTCGGACTTGGGGCTTGTGTTGCGGCTGTTCAGGGTCACAAAGCCCCTCTCGGGGAGCTTTTTGCCCAGCTTCCCTGTGCTGATGTGGTTTCCGTGTGCTAACCTTGGGTGGGAAGTGTGGGGTCAGTACAGAGACTAAGCAGTCTGCAACTGCAGGGGGATTGTGGGTGAGTTTGAATTCTGGTTTGCAAGTGAAGAAGGGTAACAATTCACGTGGGAAAGAGAATTCCCTTTCTGTGCGGGTTTAAAAACCCAACTTTGTAGGTAGAACACCTCCATTCGGTTTCAAACTGACTCACCTACACAGAATCACAGAATCATCTGGGTTGGAAAAGCCCCTGCAGCTCCTCCAGTCCAACCATGACCCTCCCCCTGACCGTTCCCAACTCCCCCAGATCCCTCAGCGCTGGGTCAGCCCGACTCTTCAACCCCTCCAGGGATCCCGGGGACTCCCCCCCTGCCCTGGGCAGCCCATTCCAACGCCCAACAGCCCCTTCTGCACAGAAATCCTTCCTCAGAGCCAGCCTGACCCTGCCCTGGGCAGCTTGAGGCCATTCCCTCTGGCCTGGCGCTTGATAACTTGTGCCTGACTTGCATGGCTACAGCGTTCCTCCAGTCACAGCCCCACGACAACGTTAATGGATGCTTCAGGCTTTACCCAGTTTGTAAACGCAAATCTTGTGCTGCCAAATTTTCAGAGCGCAGGGGCGGTTCCCAGCAGGGCTGAGCTGTGCGTGAGCAGGGCCACCAGCCATGTGGTGTCAGTGTTGCTCTGTGCAGAAAAGGCTTTTCCACTAAATTCCTCCAAAGCAGCGGCTGAGCAATGTCAGAGGAGCTCCTCTGCCCTCAGTGTCCTAACAGCTTCTCCAGGGGACTTGGGGGGCACCTTTTCTTAAAGTGACACTTTTCTGAGGTTTATTTTCATGAAACCTGGCTGGAAGTGCACCTCCGCTGCAGGTGACTTCTCCAGCACCTTTGCTTTATTGCAGCCACCAACGCTACAGCTTGTGTGGACCCTGCAGTCAGACAGAGCCTTGAAACGATGGCAGAGATGTCCCAGTACAGGCAAAGGTGCTTTAATGGGTCAGGCTGGGGAGGGCCTCCCACAGTGGGGCTGGGTGCGGGGGTGCTGCTGCCCGTCACACACGTGAGTCCATGGCATACATCTTGCTGGTGGCCGTTCGACCCCGGGGCTGGGGAAGCCTTGGGGGTTGCCAGCGGCTGGTAGGGTCTGCCAGGAAAGAGTTGGGCTTGTGTCATGGCCAGTAACAGCCGAGGAGCTCGGGGGGCCCACGGCACGACGACGGGGCAGGAGGAACGAACCCACACAGCTGGGCGTAAGGGCTGGGGATGGTGTCTGCCGAGGTGTTGCCTACCCCACGTCGCTGGTGGTGGGGTGGCCACATTGCCACCGGCACAGCCTTGTGGCCACTGGCTCAAGCTTGGCTGGTCACAGTGATAAGCTCCAGCATGGCCACTCTTTCGGTAGATGACAACACACCTTCACCAGGACCTCGAGGTCCCACAGAAGTGGATGGGGCATTTCTGCACCCGCTCCTTGCGCTTATGGGGCTTACAGGGTCCTCACTTCATCCCAGTCCTGCCTAGCATGGCCCAACCTCCCCCACCAAGGGGCTCCCCTTGATTTGGCTGAACCTTGTGAGAAGCACCTGCACCTTCTGAGCTCGTCCCTCACCCCCGGTACATCCCTCCAGGTCAAAAAGCTACCTAGGGTGTAGTGAGACAGGGCATACTGACCTGTGCAGGCATAGAGGCAGCACGTCAGCAGGACGGAGGCCACACAGCAGCCCATCGAGCCAGCCATCCCCAGCCAACACGACCACCCAAAGTCATAGTGGACTCCCAGGAATATATTGTGTGACACCAACATGGCCCTCTCCACGTAGACGTCCACCGCATACCACACGGAGCCCACAAGTCCCAGGATGCCTAGGAGGAATGGGGCTAGTTAAGAAAGAGCCATGCAACCCCCCCAGTGTTCCCCAGGACCCCTCTGAGGGGGTGCCCCTAGCTCCCAGCACCCCCATGGGACACAGTCCATCTCCCCCAAGCTCTCCCAGCCACACACTCCCAATGCCAAGGATGACACCGGCCCCGTAGCACATCTTCAGTTTGACACGAGGATCTTCCTTCAGGAACTTGATGCAGTCGAGCCCAAGGAGCAATGTAGCCAAAGCCAAGCCAGCCAGGAGGTCTGCTGTGATCAGCAGGGTCCGCGTCACCACGATCTTCACTGGGCAGAGAAGAACAAAAATAAAACAGAAAGGGGACTGAGGAATGTTCAGAGGAACTGGTCTCCCCACTCCAGATTGCTGCCTGTGTCCCTGCTAGAGTCACCCAGCTCACCAGTGTGCATGATCGTCGGAGATATCTACTTTTGCACCCACCACCCACGTGCCCACCATGTGCCATAGGCCAGGTGCTCACCAGGCTCATCCGAAACTGTGCAACAGGACTTAATAAGCCCATTATTAGAATAGCTCATGAAACCAAACAACTTATGGGGCACCAATCAGCACCTGGAATGTGGTCACCTACTCAAAACCTTCTTGCACAGACTTGGACAGAAGATGCTGTTGTCCAGACTGTTTTTAACTCCAAGTTGTGTAGCTGGTGTTTTGAACAGCAAATGTCCACATTGCAGTGAAAAATACGACAGTTGGCATGGTCGACATCACCAACTGTGTGCAATGTGACTTCTCCCTCCACCGCCTTTTCCCCCGAGCAGCACAGCAGCCCCACATAGTCCATGGTGACTTCTTCTTCCCTTCTCCACTGCCTGAACCTGTGTTGTCCCATGTCATCGTCCTATACAGGACAAGGGTTCTGCTGTGCAGGGCCTTATGTGCCCTGTGCAGGCCAAGAGAAGTCTTCATACCACAACATGACTGTCCATGAGCTGAGGACACAAGTCCTTGGCCAGTGGGAATGGTCTTCACCCCTGCATGCATCGGGGTTGCAAATACCATCATGCAACGGAGGGCGGGAGCTGTGCTTGGGCTCTATGTGCCAAAAGACTTTTGTTGTGAGATGGCACAGCTTCACAGCCTCTGTCCTGTTTGGTGACCCCACAGCAGATCTGCCTCAACCATGGGTTGCTGTCCAGGCTGTGCTGATGGGGCAGGAGACCAAGAGAAGCCCTGGGCCTGCATTGCTAACTGATGAAGGTCAGCCCTCTGCAATGGGGATCATCTCCTCAAATAATGGAAGAGGGAAAACCTATGAACTCTAAAAATGTCTCCAGGCCATGCCAGCTTACCTGGATGGTCAGCCAAAATGGAGTCATACTGGTCACAGGTCCTGACCCCGTCCTGCATGTTGGTGACACACTCCCTCCAAAGCCCTCGGCATTTGTGACTTACCTGCAAGTAGGAGAAGGACACTTAAGCAAAAAGCACCAAAAGCCACCCCAGCTCCTCAGGGATTTCCCAGCTCAGCAAGATCTTAAGGCTCTCACCACCACAGCAGGACATGTCCCAGTGACTCTCTACCCACACCTTGCTCCCTGTCTCCTCCTTCTGCCCCAGCATTTCTCTAATCCTCTAACTCATGCAGAAAGCAGTGGGTTTGTCCCACCACGTCCCCTTTCCAAGCCTGTGGAGTCATGGTGCAACCCTATGGATATCAAGGCACCCACCTTGCACTCAGCTGCTAACCTTGAACATGGTTGCTCTGCTCACCTCCAAGCTGTCATCAGCGTTCACCATCCAGCAGTCGGTGCACGTGGCAAGGAGCAGGAAGAAGGTTGAGAGAAGAGCAAGACCGAACGCTGTCATCTGCAGGGCTGTGCTCATGGGGTTACCTGCAAGGTCACAGAGATATCCACCACCTCTGCTCTGGCCACTTCCCAGGTACCTGACCCACCAAGGACCAAGTGCCACCTAGGCCAGGGTGTCCTCTGGACACCTATGAAACGTCTGGGCCCCATCTCATGGTCCTCAGTGCTGCCAAAATGCTCCGATAACCTTGGCTGAGGTTGGGCCACCAGGTTTGTGTGTAGACAGGGCCTTCAGGGATACATTCATTCTGCAGTGGAGATAAACACACATTGGGTTGTGATCTAGATGTCCTCTCTTCCAAACAGACCATTCAAAGTTGCCAACCATTAGCGCTTGCCCTTTGGGAATCAAGAACTGCTGGAAACCATTGTCAAATTACTACTATTGTCAAAACTTGTGATCTGAGCACGTGTGTCCTGACTGTAGAATCACAGAATGGTTTGGGCTGGAAGGGACCTTAAAGATCACCTAGTTCCAACCCCCCTGCCATGGCCAGGGCCACCTTCCACTAGCCCAGGTTGCCCAAAGCCCCGTCCAACCTGGGCTTGAACCCTTCCAGGGAGGGGGCAGCCACAGCTTCTCTGGGCAGCCTGTGCCAGGGCCTCACCCCCCTCACAGGGAAGAATTTCTTCCTTATATCTGGTCTAAATCTCCCCTCTTTCAGTTTAAAACCATTACTCCTAATTCTATCCCTACACCCCTGACCAAGAGTCCCTTCCTCCTTTCCCGCAGCCCCTTCCAGCCCTGGGGGCCGCTCTAAGGTCTCCCTGGAGCCTTCTCTGCTCCAGCTGAAATCCCCAACTCTCCCAGCCTGTCCTCACAGGGGGAGCTCCAGCCACCGAGCATCTCCGTGGCCTCCTCTGGCCCCGCTCCAGCAGGTCCGTGTCCTTCTGCTGTTGGTGCCCCAGAGCTGGAACCAGCCCTGCAGGGGGGTCTCACAGAGCGGAGCAGAGGGGGAGAATCCCCCCCCTCACCTTGCTGCCCACCCTGCTCTGGGTGCAGCCCAGCACACCCTTGGCTTTCTGGGCTGTGCATGCACATTGCTGGCTCATGGTCAGTTTTCCATCCACTAATACTCCCAAGTCCTTCTGAGGTTTTCTTGATCAGCATCACAGAATCACAGAATCATGCAGGTTGGAAAAGACCCTCGGGATCATCGAGTCCAACCCTCAGCCCGACTCTGCGAAGTTCTCCCCTACACCATAGCCCCCAACATCTCATCTAAATGACCCTTAAACACCTCCACCCTTGCAGCCATGGGATTCGGTGGGAAGATCACCTGCCCTTTCCTGCTTGTTTTTTCTTTGATAAAAGCAATAAAGTGTTGAAACATCCTGGTTGGAGCACAAGCAAGTGTCCCGTGGAGGTGTCCTAATCTCAAGTGGCAAGCCCAGAGAAAGCATCTCCCATTACAGAGGTGGATGAGGGCTGCTGGGGCTTGATGTCAGTGACCTTAACTGCTGCCAAGGCTTTCCAAAGACCAAAGGAGAGAGGATCATCTGTTTTCCATCCTTGTCAGAGAGAGATGGACTTTGCAGAGAGGGGAGTTGTGCCCAAGGTATGGAGCAGAGGACATTGGATCTCTGCAGCTTGGACATGAATCCCGCTTTGCCTTGCTTTTCATCCCAAGATGATAAGTATTTCAGCAGCTGAAGTTGCAAGCACTGTGACAGCCCTTTGGGCAGAGGAGTTCCTATGAGTGGGTTAATTAATGAGACCAGGTGGGTCTCTGAGCTGCACGGGTTAATTATTGTAGGGTGATGACTCTTCAGCATCTCCAGGTTTGTGACCTTCAGCCAGATGCTGCCCTCTCTGGCATGGCACAGGCTTCCCTGTGGGGCAGAGGTGGGAAGGAGGGTCATGGTCCCCACACCCAGGGTGCAACATCTCCCACCACATCTCCTCCTGGGACATCGCTGGGGACCAGAGGTTCCACTCACCCCATCTCTCTGGGAATTTTCAATAGCTTCACTCTGAGAGTGTATCTTATTGAGTCGGGCTCTTAGACCCCAATTTACAATATATTTTTTTTAAATTTCCCAGGCTCCCTTCTGAGCTAACTCTCCATAAGCTTATTTTTTTTTTCCACTAGACCCTGGCTGTTTTGGAGCCTTTGAAGAAAATCTGTTCAGCCATTTGAGTTATATGAGAATATAAAAAAAAAAAAAAAGAAAAAAAGAAAATAAAGAAATCCTTAATCCCAGTGAAAACCAGCTCAAAACCCTGTTAGCAATAAAAAGAGGATTGGGGGTGGGGAGCATTACCTTCACCACAGGCTCATCTTTTCTGAGGTGGGACGATGGAAAAAGCTCTTTGTCTCCAGTGGCTGGGGCTGAGGATGTGGGTCTTAAAGGCTTTCAAGTGCCGGTGGGATTCGATCCTGACCCACTTGAAAGAGTCGGGGGAATGCAGTGCCTGCCAGAGCCTGTGCTGGGCTATTTAAGGTTTTTCCAAGGCACGTCACGTGGGCTTTGTGCTCCACGGCGTGATGGGCATCCCTGCCGTTAAAACCGTAATAAGTTGGAAATGGAGCCTCCCCAAAAAATATCATGTGGGGAAACCTGTGGGAACCCGCTGGGAACACTCCCCAGGTGGGGGACTCTGTGTCCTGGGCGAATATCCCACATTTTTTAATTAGATCTTTTAATTACTGCCTAAGAGTGGCCTGAGATATGTCATGTCCCCAGAATGGGTGCAAGAGGTGGCTGGAGAAAGAAGCTAAAATGCAAGATGGATAATTAAAAAATTAAAAACCCTTGGCCAGGCATGCAGCCAATAATTAAGACCCTTTTTTTATATCCCCCCATTAAGAGGTAAGCAAGTGATAACCACTGCGGTGGTTATGGCTCAGTTAACACATCAGTCCCCAAAGAAGATTTTGTGACCCTGGAAAGTGGTACCCCAGCTGCCTGGCAGTTGGAGCTGCCCTAAAAACTTCAGGTTTCTTTCCTGATCCCTTATTATCTGGGGAAAAAAAAAAAAAAAAAAAAAAGATTTTGCTCTTGTTTTCTCACAAAGCATTGTGTTGCAGCATCCTCTGAGCATCCAGCGGATCAGGTGTGCGCCAGAGCTCTCAGACATTGCTACGCCCTCATCTCCCAGACCCACGGAAAACACATACGTATTTCCATTTGGTGGATTATATTTGAGATGCACTCGGGTTTTTTAGGCTTGTTTTGTGTTGGTTTGGTGGGGGTTTTTTTGTTTGTTTTGGGTTTTTTTTTGTCTAGATAATCCTCTTCAGCACTGAACTGTGGGGATTTTGGCAATGCACCAGGGTCTTGGCAAATCCTTGAGCTTCAGCCCCGCAGAGGCACCCGGGTGCTTGATGTGTGCAATTGCTGTGGCTTTATTTTGCGTTATCCTGCTTTCCCAGGATTTTGGCACATGGCAGGTTCAATTCTTTGGCATGTAGCTGTGAATTAGTGCTGAAAACACCCAGGAGGGTTTGTGTACCTTCGTTTTCCAACATTTACATCTCAGGAATTTATAGTACTTGGACATCCATGACGTGAAATTCTGGTGTCACTACAAGCAATACAAAACTGCAGCTGCATGCCCTGTGGCACATATAAAATAGGTTTATTTTTATTTTCTTCTTATATAAACAGTCGGTTTATTGTATATCAAACAACTAATCTGCCTTGTCAATTCTCAACTGAAACCTTTTGGGGGGCAGAAGAGATGTTGGCAGAGGGGCAGCTCTATCAGTAGTCGAATAATTAAGATAATTTCCCTGGTTAGTGAAGGTAAAAATCAGATCTTATGTCCAACTAGGTTTGTGAAACCCCTATGTTAAAAAAGTGATGCTCACAGGAGACCCACATCTTTGTGTTTCAGAACATGTTGTGCAGGGGAAACCTGCTACGGCTGGAAGGGAGAACAAAAAGAACTAAAGAGGTTTGAGTTGATGGGACCATCTCACAGAGGTGGAGAGCACTCCGTAGATGCTGATGGGGCATCTACAGAGAATAAAAAAGAATAAAACCCCACTAAATTAAAACAGTCCCAACTCAGAAGAATGAGAAAAGCCCCTCTGCATGTGGACCAGCTGTGGACCCCCAGCCAAGGGCAGCGCTACCACAGAAACATCTACATGCTAATTATAACAAGGGGCGTCAAGTGGATTTTAAAATTATTTTAATAATTTTGTTTGGGGTTTTTTTTAGAAAAAAAGGTGTTGGGTCTTTTTTCTACTCTATTATTCATGTGGAATTTTGGTGCTGTGGCCATTTGGTGAGATTTGCTACTATCTTGGCATCTAGGGGGTAGTTTTCCCTTTTCCCTTATTTCTACCTATTTGAAATGAGTATTATTTCACAGGGGTTTGGATGCAAGCAAGAAGTATGACCAGAAGTCTAAATATTGTTCACCATACTGGTTTTGTTAATAAAAGAAGTGTGTTGGGGGGAAAAACCCCATGTTTTAGCCTAGATGAGATGTGGACGGAGGCAGATCCCATGTATAGCAGCGAGCCTGGCATCCTGTTCCCATATTTTATCCCACTTTGCCCTGTGCAAAACACACGAGGGATTGTCCAGAGGACAGTGGGGGCCTTTATACCCCTGAACACATTATTACTGCTCAGCTATTTTCCCAACCCCCCCCTTTTGATATGCTTCCAGCCCAGGCGTCCATCCCCAGGGAGCCCTTGGGTGACCTGTGGAGATGTCACAGGAGCCACCAAGGACCCCAAACCCCTGCTTTTTGAGGTGGCATGGAATGTTTTTGTGGATCAGGTGCTGCGGGCAGTATAAGGATGCTGAGACAAGACAGCAGCCGTGCAAAATCCTGAGTGGAAAGCATCATTCCCTGAGGAAAACCAAGAACTGGTCAGGGGAGGGGGGTGGAGCAAAAATCAGTATAAATTAGCAAAGTACCCAATTAGGCACAAGCCAACTCTGAATTCATAGAAAATGGGAGAAAATAAGGGAGAGTTCAGCTCTGAGAGTCTGTAAGAAGGACAGTAAGAGAAGGATGCTGGTGGCATTTCAGCCTGGGGAAGAGTCCTGTGGAGGGACCAAGTGGCGGCTGCAAGCATGAGATGCTGGGTGCAACCCTGCTGCATGGGACATCTGGGCTTTTCCATGGGTTCGGCCTTAAATGAAACAATTTTGGAGGCTTTATCCCCTCCTTTGAGAGCAACACATGCAAAAGACTCAAGATATTTAGTTAGCACCTGCCCAGGAGGGCAAAAACCATTCAGCATGGGGAAGAATCTCCTGCCTGGACCACATGGCAGAAAGTGCTTTGACTCAGCAAAGGAGCCACTTGCAGGGGACTGGCCCGGATTTTGAAGGAGGGGAAAAACAAAGAGACAGTTTTAGAAAGATGCCCATGATTGGAAATATTTAATACCACCGAGTCACAAATTTTAGTACAAACAATCAGCAAAAAAAATGCATTTAAAAATCCCAACCAGTCCCATTCCCACGGCCATGCATCCCATAGAAAAGTTAATGCAATTTTATATTAAAAGAATAAAAACATTCTTCTACACAATGCTGTGCTCTTGATAGAAAAATGCCTTTTTGATTGATTTTTTTCTTTTTAAAGCACAAGTTTCCTTTTCAATCCTCACTGCAGTAGCTTTTGGTGTGTATTTTTAGAGGGGAACCCCGTAAATTGGGTTCAGCCAACCAAGCACCTGATGGGTGAAGACAGACTATAAGCACTGCTCTCCCCTGACGGGTGAAGAAGACAGTTTTACAGGGGGTCTGCAATTTAAAAGAGAAAGAGGGCTGTTAGTCCCGTGTGAGAGAGAAATTAACCCCCCCAGGGCAAAAATAGCATTGCTTCCCCTCCAGGACCCAAAGCAGCACATGGGCATACACTAAGAGGAAAAAAAATAGAGAAAAATAAAATAAACCTGAGCAAAATAAAATTTTAAAAAACAGGTACTTCAGCTAATTGGGATTTTAAAAAATAATAAAAAAATATGTAATCAAGCTCTTTGGATCATTTCCACTGGTTTTTAGGTGGCATAGCTCATGCAACATGGATGGATGGGTGGGTTTTGGGGGATTTACAGATGAAATTGGAGCTACGGCGTTTGCAGAGCAGTTAGTAGTGGTCGAGACGAGGTACAAGGAGGTGGAAGCAATTAGCACATCAGCGTTTGAGGACTTCACTGCCCGCTCCAGGGGATCCTGTCAGAGGAAGAGGGATTTGACACAGAGGGGAAGCATCAAAATTCACAGGTCTGTCCACCTGCTACCTGAAATAGCTGTGCTGGGCACCAAAAATAAAAACAAACTGCTGCTTTGTGTTCAAAGCCCCCTTTTTGCCTGCTTTAATTTGCTCAATGTCACTTATTCTTCAGCTTAACAAGGCCACATACTTGTGCCTGGTGAGAAATAAAGCCAGAGCAGATTTTAGCTGGCAGAGCTCAGCTGGAGCACCAGGCTCAAGTCAAGAATTAATAATAATTTAAAAAATTGTTGCTTTTGGGTAGCAATGAGGCAGGGGAATGCTTGCAACCCTGAAAGCATCCCTCTGCCAAAAGCGAAGCGCGGGGATGCTTGAGCCCCCCGCCCCCGGTCGGGCTGGATCTGATGGGGGTGGGCAGCAGCTTCATCCCGGGAAAACTAAGCACCAGCTTTGCTCCCTGCTTGCTCCCAACACTGGGACACAGAGGCGGGGGTGTCACGGCACAAAGCGCTTCTGTGCAGCAACACCCCCGCGGGACTGACACGGTGCCCCCGCGGGACCGCCATCATCCCGTCACTCCGGAGTGTCTGTGCGACACGCTCCAGACACCCACAGTCTCACCCACCCCGGGGGGGCCAACCTGCCCGGTGGGGGGGGAGCCTGGCAGGGATGGATGTGGGAGCTAGGACTCAAAACCCCCCTATTTTAGAGGATGGTGCTGCAAATGGCTCTGAAACCTGGAAGATGAAGAGGAGAAGAAAGGTCTCACGGGGCATCCAGAGACCACGCGGAGTGGGAGCACCGGGGTCTTGCCTGGTTTTGGGAGGGAAGGGAGGTGCTGGGCGGCAGGAGGGCAGAGGGAGGGGTCAGACGTACTCCCGAGCCGTCGAAGGCTGCGACTGCCGGTAGTACTGCTGTCCTCGGCGCTCCTTGGCAGGGCAGGAGCAGCACAGGAGGGAGCCCCCCAGCATGGTGAGGCTGGCAGCCCCCCAGCCGATGAAGAGAGCCGAGCCGAATTCGTACCTGTGGCAATAAACAGAGGGGAGCAGCGTGGAGGGGTGGCAGAAAAGACAGAGGGGCAAATTGAGATGGGCATGAGGATGCTCGAAGCCCCGACAAGACTACGGGTGATGTCAAGGCAGATGTTGGTTCTTCTTCTCCCTGGCCATCCCCATTTTCATGTTGGTTGGATCCAGCTACTCAGTTTCCCCATGCTGGAATCCTCCCTTGGGCTGAAACTCCACGGGAGCACTCTTACTCTGTCTCAGCACGAAGCTGGCAGAGGCAGTGACTAAAGCTGTAGCATCGGGGAGATCTTCTGCAACGTGGCAGCTGTGGGGTGCCATGGCTCCCACCCCGGGTGCAACATCTCCCTACAACCCTGACAAAAGCAGCGAGGGAAGATCCAATGGGAAGTGCAGGGGCAAGATGAGATTCAGGTAAAGAGCATTCCCAGCACCGGGCTCCTACCTGGCGTTGATGGGAACAGTGCTCTCTCTGAAGAACTCATAGGTCACCTGCGTTGCATACAAGGACACAGCGGCCAATGTGCACAGACCTGGACATAAAATCATGGAATGATAGAATAGGTGGACACAGAACCATAGAATGGTTTGGACCATGGTCCAAATGGTTTGGGGGTTCTCATTGACAAGCAGCTGAACAGGAGCCAGCAGTGTGCCCGGGTGGCCAAGAAAGCCAACGGCATCCTGGCTTGTATCAGCACTGGCGTGACCAGCAGGAGCAGGGAGGTGACAGTCCCCCTGTGCTCTGCACTGGTGAGGCCACACCTGGAGGGTTGTGTCCAGGTTTGGGCACCTCAATCCGAGAGAGATCTGGAGGGGCTGGAGCGAGGGCAGAGGAGGGCAACGAGGCTGGGGAAGGGCCTGGAGAATCAATCCTGTGAGGAGCCAGTGAAGGAGCTGGGAGTGTTCAGTGTGAGGAGGAGGAGGCTGAGGGGAGACCTCATCCCTCTCTGCAGCTCCTGACAGGACATTGCAGAGAGGTTGGTGCTGGGCTCTTCCTACAGGGAATTAGTGACAGAACAAGAGGGAATGGCTTGAAACTGTGACAGGGGAGGGTCAGACTGGACATGAGGAAAAAATGTTTCCTGGAAAGAGTGGTCAGAGAGTGGAATAGGCTGCCCAGGGAGGGGGTGGAGTCCCCATCTCTGGGGGTGTTTCAGGGACATTTGGATGAGCTGTTGGGGGATGTGGGGTAGGGGAGAACTTAGTAAAGTCGGGCTGAGGGTTGGACTCGATGATCCCAAGGGGCTTTTCCAACCTGAATGATTCTGTCTCTGGAAGGGACCTTTAAAGATCATCTAGTCCAACCTCCCTGCAATGAGCAGGGACAACTTCAGGTAGCCATCAGACACTGAACCCCCAGTCCATCACCAAACGTCTCCCTTTCCTCCATCAAACAGCTTTTAGAAGGTGTTTGACGTTGTATCAGAGAGGTGCAAAGGCTGGAGCTGCCTTACCGGAGAGGATGAAGAGGACACCTCCAGCAACAGCGATGCGGCTCTTGGTAACAGGATCCTCTTCACCAACTTTGGTGCATTTCATGCCCACCACGCTCACAATGATGCCGAAGAAGCCCAGGAGGAGATGTGGTGGGAGATGTTGCACCCTGGGTGTGGGGACCATGACCCTCCTTCCCACCTCTGCCCCACAGGGAAGCCTGTGCCATGCCAGAGAGGGCAGCATCTGGCTGAAGGTCACAAACCTGGAGATGCTGAAGAGTCATCACCCTACAATAATTAACCCGTGCAGCTCAGAGACCCACCTGGTCTCATTAATTAACCCACTCATAGGAACTCCTCTGCCCAAAGGGCTGTCACAGTGCTTGCAACTTCAGCTGCTGAAATACTTATCATCTTGGGATGAAAAGCAAGGCAAAGCGGGATTCATGTCCAAGCTGCAGAGATCCAATGTCCTCTGCTCCATACCTTGGGCACAACTCCCCTCTCTGCAAAGTCCATCTCTCTCTGACAAGGATGGAAAACAGATGATCCTCTCTCCTTTGGTCTTTGGAAAGCCTTGGCAGCAGTTAAGGTCACTGACATCAAGCCCCAGCAGCCCTCATCCACCTCTGTAATGGGAGATGCTTTCTCTGGGCTTGCCACTTGAGATTAGGACACCTCCACGGGACACTTGCTTGTGCTCCAACCAGGATGTTTCAACACTTTATTGCTTTTATCAAAGAAAAAACAAGCAGGAAAGGGCAGGTGATCTTCCCACCGAATCCCATGGCTGCAAGGGTGGAGGTGTTTAAGGGTCATTTAGATGAGATGTTGGGGGCTATGGTGTAGGGG